CCAATCTTTCACAAATAGAGTGATGCATATAGACAGACTGGGCTGCCGACACGCAGAGATATGGAAAATATTTAGACAGTCACTGGACTAAATCGACGGGCAGAGACCACACAGGGCGCTTGAGAGTCTGTGCTAATGTGTGCTTCAGTGTTACTTGATGTTTTCATGCTAATGTTTGTGCACCTGCTAATGGATGTATATGTGCATATACACTATACATTACAGTTATTGATATCGTTCACAAAATTTCAATAAAACATAAACTGAAAAAAATAAATCTTGCAAATTCATATCTGAGATCGCAAATCTTTTCCTCTAAATTAATTATTTTCGTCTCCAACTTATTTTGCAAATCCCTTATATCTTCATATTGAAAATGTCTTGCCTCTTCCTCCTCCTCTATCTTTTGTATTCTTGACACAACAGAGGATACATTTGTTTTCAAATCGGAGAATTTCTCATTTATATCACTTTTTAATTCCCTGAGAACTTCCTCCAAACTGGATTTAAGCAAATTAGGAGTTACTGTATTGCTTTCCATCTCCTGTTCAGACACATTGTATGTAGATTGTATTTAAATATCTGTAATATTCATTCCTGTACTATCCGACATTTATTAAAGGGGGTAAAAAAACAGACCGCCTTTTTTTTTCTTGTTTGTTCCCCTTTTTATTGGTCAACTTATTATCTTGCGTGCTTTTGGAAGCCATTATGGGATAAGCCAATTACAATAAATAGCGGTATATGCGGCCTCAGGAGGTGTGTCCAATCTGCAAAAGGCGACTAGTTTAAGCAATAAGCCAAATCTCCATTTCAGGGTGGGACAAAATATCCTTTTAATACTCAATTAGCAAATGCGTGCCAGTAAATCTGATTCTCCTTATTTATAAAAAAAAAAAAAAGATTGATTGTAATTAATTCCTTTAGGAAACCCAGCTGTTTCCTTTCTTCCTTTTTTTTTTTTTCCCCCTTTTTCTCTCCTTTAGAGTGATGTATTCATTGATTCCTCGTAAGCCTTAAACACAGTCCCAATATAACGCCACAAGCTTTAGTTGGCTATTACCTTGTTGTAGCAAGGGTATCAGCGTGTCAAAGACTCAGTTTTCCAAGTTTCAGATTAATTACTTTATTAGGTGTCTTTATCTTCTGGACATTTGCAGCCAGTCTCCTAAGCTCCAATCTTTATTGCAGTGTTACTGCTAATGGCTTCTGCAACAGTCTTTCCAATAAATGTCTGGCGTCCATACTCCTCTTTCCTCTGCTTCCGGCTTCCCCGCGCTTCCTTCTTGCAGGTTTACAGCACAGGTCAACTTTGTTATGTAACTCTCAATCTTCGTCCTTTCTCACCGCTCACACACTCTCGTCTCCCACCTCTCCTCTCCTATCCCACGTGGTAGCGTATCGCATCCACTCCCAGCGTGCACGTATGCTAGCCTACTTCATCACCTTCTGCGCCATTTACAACTTTCACCTATTTTGATGGGTTTCATTCTGTTTCTTGTCACTCATGTAGCTGATAGGTCAGCTATGTATGCAGTCACTGTGGGCCCCAAAGGATGGCTGGCATCCAACAATGTTTAATTTGCACGTTCATATGATGAGTTATGGAATGCCATCGCGTCATTGGATGCAGGGTGGATGCATTTGTAACCTCCAAGTCAGTAGTCTATATTGCTGCTTTGATGGCATTGCAATACATTTAAAAAAAGTACATGTTCATCTATACATTTGCCACCTTTTTGGCTCACAAACACTTTACATGAGATTTTATTTTCTTTGAGCAATATTTTTCATGTTGTGCACTTTAAAGATGTTTCAGTCACGTATTTGGCTAGCACAGTTGTTAAAATGCCATGTAACCAATGTATCATATTTACAAGGGAAATAAATTTTTTTGATGATAATGCTATTTTGCAGCCACATATAACTTTACAAGGCACTTTCTACAATATCTGTATTAACAACATTAATGAACTTCTTTGTTACAGACCCCCAATTGCAGAACACATTACTGAAGAATTCCGCCAACGAGTACCGTTCTCGATTTTCACTACAAATCCCTGCAGGTACCTGTTTTGCAAAGCTGTATATTATAAATAAGTATTTTAGCATGTGCTTACTGGACTATGAATGTGAATTTGCTTTTCAACATTTATACGGACACAGGTTATCTTTCCCTGTTGGATGCCAGGAATCTCTTGGTGTTTGTGGTGAACCATTATTCCCTCTGGAAGTGCACCACCTTTTGTTTTCAAACAAGACCGGTATTCATTTAATCACAATCTTGTATTTAAAAGAAAAAAAGCACTTCGACATTGTTGACTATACAAGACATCTTAAACATGAAAATTATTTGCCTGCAAAGACCAGTTGGAGTTATATTGTGACATGACATTTGCAGGAAAAATATATCCTATGCTGATATTTTTTTTTCTTTCTTAATCTCTTCTCAGAATCCAATATTGTACCCACGAAATAGTTGTGCTTCGGGAAGATTTAGTAAATAAAATGTGTAGGAATTGTGTTCGTTTTCCTAGCAGCAGTCTGGATATCCCTAGCCACGTAAGTCAGTTTTAACGTGCTTAAAATGTATTTATTTTTATGTATTTAAAAAAAAAAGTATGCTATCCTATAGGATTATTTTTTTTCTTCTTCAGTTTGTCAAAACCATCCTGTCGCAAGGACACCTGACGCCCCTCCCGCTGTGTGTCAGCCCTGTGTATTGGGCTTATGATTATGCTCTGCGTTTGTATCCTCTGCCTGATTTGGTGGTCATTGCAGACAAGTGCGATCCATTCACCATCACGAACACAGAATGCCTGACTATGAACCCTGTAAGATTTCCCTGGGAGTTGTCGGTATTAAAACTGTATATTTGTGGGGTTTTTAAAAAATTTAATTTTTTTGTGAGGAGGAAAGTTAGAATTGGTATTTTGGCCCCTAATGTTTCTCTTTAAATATTAAAAAAGCATTAACCTGCTCTGGTGATTAACCGTGGTTTATGTAGTGAATCCCATTTTGTTTTAGAAAATTATAGAAAAAGCTTCTCATGAATGGATTTTATATTTAGATAATATTTATTTACCTTCTATTTCTTCCACAGGGTTCATTTCCGAGAAGTGGATTTTCATTCAAGGTCTACTATCCCTCCAGCAAAACTGCTGAAGACAGGTAACTGATGTGGCTGTATTGTCTGTATATTTTAGTTTATAAAGGGACATTTTAGAGTTCCTGGGCAAGCCTCAATTCTATTCAATAGATGGACAGTGGGATGTAGTGGTTATGGTTCTTGGCATGTTCTTTTAACATAGTGTACAAATTCATTGCACAAATTGTTTGTGTTTTTCATTTCAGCAAACTGCAGAATGTTTGAACTCACAAATGCGGAATATGGTGATGTGACTAGAAGACTTTTACACACATTTGTAAAAACATTTTATTACATGTTTAAATGTATTTTAGGCTTTTTTTTTTTTGATAAACAAAGTTATATATTGTAATAAATTTGTACAGAAATAAATGTTTTAATTGCTATTGTCTAATTCCTATTTAGGTTTTAGGGAAAAAAACAACAAAAACAAAGTTGGTGTTTACATATGATGAAAAGGTTATGTAGCATTTTATATTAATAGCAAAACAAATTCTAGCTACAAAGTGAAGACTAAAAAGATTTGTATTTGTTTAATGCATTTCTACAAGGCAGTTAAATTAAATATGCATTTATTAGCGTGTCATTAGCTAAGCTGATCGAACATCCTTGTTAATGACGGACAGTGTCCAGTGAAATGCTGCTCAATGAGTAGCATCGTGGACACAGCCAGCATATTTGGAAAATATGTTATCTAAAATCTAATCAAAAAGTAGATGCCTACATGAAAATGGTTATTAGTTAAAATAATATTTATTTATTTATTCCATTTCTTCTTTCTTTATCTAATCTTGCACAGGAGGCTGTTTTGTATTAGCAGGCAGTTAACAAGGCAGGAGATAAAAACTTCTAAAGTATACTGCAAAATGTCAAACTTGCATGTGAACAAAAACAACAACTTCTAAAGTAAACATACTCTGCAAATGTAAGTTCCAAAATGAACACTTATTTTTAGGATGTCTTTAGAGAGGATGTGAGTCACAGCCATGGAAGGTGTGATTAGGACGGCTGAAATAAAGTGGTTTAATTCCCAGTAGAGATTTGAGCTGTGAAACTACAAGGGCATGATCTGTGTGCCAAAACCATTTCATTAAGATAGTAGTTTTGGTGTTTAGACTGACCCTTTAACCCCTTAAGGACCAAATTTCTGGAATAAAAGGGAATCATGCCATGTAACACGTCATGTGTCTTTAAGGGGTTAAGGCACTTTACATTTTTTGTAAAGATTCATAAACCTGATGTATTTTTTTTTTTTTTTATTCTTTATTTTTCATGCAGAAAATTACAAAACTGGTCTGCAATGCCACGACAGCAAAACAAACCAACATAGTCAAAACCGTTATACAATGTCATGGCAAATAAGAGAAGTGCACATTTTTATATATAGTAGTCATGCTTATTCCGTAGATTTATAGTTATATAGCAGCCCTGCACCTTGTTAGTAGTAACTGAGAGCATGAGTAACTTTATGCAGGGAATGAATGAATGCTCAGGCTAGCAGTAAGGTATTAGGCGTTTCAGGGTGGCTCACCAGTATACAGACGGTAGTTGAGTGCTTAATGTACCATCACTTATGTAGCTACAATGGTTTGTACTACCAATGCTGTATATATTCTCAATATGTATAAGCTACGTGTCTGAATTATTGGGAAGACTTAATAGGCTGCATTAAGCTGGTGGATGGCCATGGGGGCCTAGGAGACAAAGCGTACTTTATCTGGGCAGTAACCTGCTAAATAATAACTGTTAAACATTAAAATAGAGGCAATCATCAGCCCGCTACCCAGTTGTGGGCAAAGTATGTCCACCAGTCCTTCACGACCTGGCTCTCTGGTCTGTGGGTCTGGAATTTGACAATATGAAAGGTAAGGGTGGTCAGCAGTTGTGGCTGGTCCGGCAACAGGTAGGTAGGTAGCGCCAGTCTCGGAGGCTCAGAGATTTAGCCGATGCCTCTACTGGGCCACTTCACGCGGTCTCTGTGGGCTGAGCCTCCGTGGACTCCAGCCCCCACCGCCTCCGTCGGTCTCCAATCAGTGCCAGCTCTCCACGCAGTGTACAGGTTCTCTCCTGGGGAGGTCAGGGTGCTCCGTTCACCGTGGGGTCTTATGCCGTAGGCGACTTGGTTGGGGTGTTGGTGTCTCATTTTGGAAGAGGGTCTCCGCAGGGGGTTCCTGCGGGCGGGATTAACCACTGGAGTCGACAGCCGGGCCTGCTTCCTCCTTCTCCGCCTGGGTGCCACACCAATCCGCTCCGAGTGGGTTGACACTGACCTTTGGAGGTGTAGGAGGTGAGTGGTGTGGCATATTTTCCTCTGCTGCCGCTCCTCGAGTCTCTGCCAGAATTCCTCCAGAATTTTGTCCAGCTTAGCTAGGGTCGAGGCTACCGGGTCTCATGGCATGGTGGGTGGCCTGGCATCCGCCATCTTAGGTCGACTAAGGGGACAGGCCTCCCGTCTCAACCCATGCTGGGCGATAGGGCCGTGGGTGACCAGTGAGTGTAGCTGGGGTGATGGTGCCGGGGTAACCCCCGCCGGCAAGGGGGAGAACGGGATCCCGTGCTGATTCAGCTTGTTCCAGTGGGAGGATAAGCGGGAAGATCGGCCGCTTCTCCCGCACTCCCACCCCCAGGTAGGCCGCAGTGGCGTTTCAGTTTTAATCTGTTTGGCTTGCCTCAGTTAGGTTTTAGATTAAAGCAGGATTGCTTGTAGGCTGCATGCAGCGTTCAGATTGCTGTTTTTGGGCTAGCTTGGGTGAGTTTTGTAAAGATTTTGCACATTCTCTATTGGAGCACACTACACATGCAGCCATTCAGTTTGCAAGCCAGGCCCCGCCTCCCTCCCCCCCAGCCTGATGTCCCTCCCCCCCAGCCTGATGTCCCTCCCCCCCAGCCTGATGTATTCTACTGCTGTAATATCCAAAGATGTGTTTTCAGCTGGACCCTCAAGTACAAAAATGTCTATATTGTGTGCTTCGAAAGTGACTTGTCTTATTTTTGGCAACTGGTTTCTACAAGGTTTGTATTGCTTCTGTGTATATAAATGTGATGAGACAGACTGCACAGTCTCCAAGGTTAGAAAGGGGCATGCCTGGCACTGTAACACTGTTTGCTTATATAATAATTTATGCTATAAGGAGATCTCCCATCAAAGTCTTTCTTCCTATGCCCATGTATATATTGGTATAGGGTGCATACAATTGGTGGCACATAGTGTTACCGTTATTGAGAAGAAAAAAAAAATCAGACATGTTGAGTGGTCAGTTTATTAACTGTTGGTGTTTCATTCAATGAAGAAAAATAAACAAAGTGCTGCTTGTTGCCATTAGTGTTGCATTCTGCTGCTCTCTGAAATTGCTGACAAAAATCTGGTTGTGGCAAAAGAAAAATGTAATACTTATTTTTACTCATTGTTTGTCGCGTTTTCCTTTCTTTTCTTCCCTTTTCCACTACAGGGTAGAATACTTGCCTAATTTCCATCTACAGTATGTGTGATCATTTTCTTTTTCTCACTTTTCCTTTATGCTTTTCTCTCCTGCTGTGTGACTATTATAGCACCTTGTAAGGTATTCTTTCTCGCTGTGCTTGGTTACAATAAAATGGTGTATTATTTGATTCTTTTCACAAGTTTATCGGCAATGATAGCTGATATTCTGTTCTGATTTTAAAAGTACTTATATCAAATTCTGTGTAAGCCATGCTCTTAGTCTGGAATAATTTTTGTTCCGTCTCTAGTTCGAGTCCAAAATGTCCAGTCTCAGCCGGTCTAAAGGATTCCATTATTCCCCCAAAACTAGGTGTAAAGCTTTCCACGCTGTTGTAGAAAATGAAAACAGCCCACTCAAAGGAAAAAACAAAACATCATCATGCCTGCCATGATACAGTTCTCTTTATTTCTGTAATACGGTTTCTTTGGATTATTTGGCGGCCCATATGTTCAATGTAGCCACAGTGCTTTCGATGGAATGGAAGATTCCAATAGTCCCCATTTAATGCTGCATGGATCTCCCATTCATATGATGTAAGTGAAAGGGATGACTTATTCTGCTGTCTGACGTTGGGACGAAAACACTGAAAATGTGTTTAAGGAAGCACTTAGTAGTTTACTTCGTAGCAGAAGTGTAAACACATTGTTTCTGGATGAGAATGTATTTCTGTTTTTTTTTTTTTGTTTGTTTGTTTTCAAACTCCAGGCGTATTTAATGAAAGTAATCTAGATTTGTAATTTTTAGCACGTTTTATACGATAAAGCATAATGAATGTGCAAGTAAACTTTGGAATGTGTATTATTATTTTTTTTTTTTTTTTTGTGGCAAAAAAAAAGAATGTTATGCAATAATATAGGGGAAGATGTTATTTAATACATATCACGTGCTTTGACACTATTATGGCTGTAAAAGGACATCCAGGGTGCTGCCGTTTGCCCAGCCTTGCCAGTATAGGTGTACACAAACTAATCAATTTTTGCTGGCTTAAGGTAAGTGGCTGAAGGGCCAGCGGGAGGGCGGGACCTAATAACCCTATAGTGCCAGGAAAACATGTTTGTTTTCCTGGCACTATAGTGCTCCTTTAAGATTGATTAATGGGCGTGCAGGAAAGCCATAGGATTGGAAAGCAGGACAGAAATGCAATTAAAAGGATCACTCCCCTGAGCTAAAGGAGATGGTAGGCTTGCTGTATTTGAGCGTGTCTGACTTCTCCCCCTTTCCTCCACAGTGCCCTCACATCAAACCAGGGTCCTTCCTGAACACTTGGCAAGCTCTCTCTAGAGTGCAGTGTTTCTTTAATTATGTTACAGAAGTGTCCGATAGCGTAAGCAATGAAAATTACCCAGGGAGGATAAAAATAAAGAGATGAAATCTAAGGGGGTCTTAACCCCTTAAGGACCAAACTTCTGGAATAAAAGGGAATCATGACATGTCACACGTCATGTGTCCTTAAGGGGTTAAAGGATTGAAGTCAAGGTGGAAGTCTCATGGGGGACAGGGGCAGGCAGTGCCATAAGAATGAAGTTCCCTTTAAGAAATCCAGTAATTGTGAGAACGTAAAAATAAATTATAAATGGTAATACCAACAAATGAGTCTAGATGGCACTGTGTAATTCATGTACTGTAGATCCAAAAGCATACAATTTTGGACGTGTAACATATATACATCATTATTTTTATTTTTTTAACATTCATTTCATAGTAAAGGGTTACTCCAATAAAAAACAAACACACACTTATTTAGGATGAACTTAACTGTTGCTGGCATGGTCCCACATATACAGGGCCTGCACTACCACTAGGTGAATTATGCAGCTGCTTAGTGTACACCAACTGGGAGGGGAGGGGAGAGGGGCACAGGCTCTGTGCTTCATCTCCTGCTGGGGGGGAAATAGTTTCAAGTCTCACGCTTTAAAAAAAACCTTCAACCTGATTGTCACCTACCTCACATCAAGAGGGAGTGATGTCCCAAAGGCAAGATTTCATATTGCTGCCTTGTACATATTAGTCAGGGATCATTTCTCCTTGTGTTTTATTGTTTAGTTAGAGATTTGTGTTGAAAGTCACCTAGTACCCGTCAATTATTAATAAAGCTTATTTTTACCATTTACTCTTTTCCCCTCCTGAAGTGTCTCAGTACTCTTCAGGTTTTTCTTTGTTTTTGAGTGGTTATCGTGTCAAGGTTATCCCCTAAATTAGGGAAGCACAATTTCAGGTGATTCCTGGTGCGTTCAAAGTTTGATTGTGCAGTTTGGTTATGCAAGTAACATTTTATATTTGTGTTCCTGATATGGACAAGAGTAGCTAAGGTTTAGATGTATCTTGTCTGAAAAGATCGCTAGTTACTAATTAGCTTAAACCATGTGTGACCAAAAGGAAGCTTTCTTGATTTTTCAGAATTCCAAAACCAGTGTCTAAATCTAAAGATCTATGTGTTTGTTTTTTTTTAATTTCTTTTTAAAATTCTTTATTTATATTGTGCACATAATAACAAACCAGGTCCGTATGCCACAATAGCTATACCAAGCATAATATAAACAATCAAAGGTAAACCGTGATCTAGCATGCATATGAACAGCACATTTTTAATTTTTGTTTATTGTCGTTTAGGTGCATTAGCGTTTGTATCAGGCTATCTGTATTTGTAATAGCAGTATATATGTGTGGGTGTGTCTATATCTGCATGTGTGCCAGTGTGTGTATATCTGTGTGTATGTTTATCACAGTAAGTGCGGCAGTGTACCTGTATATTTGCATATACCTCAGCAGTCCTAGAAACATAGAATGTGATGGCAGATAAGAATTGTTTGGCCCAGCTAGTCTGCCCAATTTTCTAAATACTTATATTAGTCACTGGTCTTCTCTTATAGTTAGGATAGCCTTATGCCTATCCCATGCTTGCTTAAACACCCTCACTGTGTTAACCTCTACCACTTCAGCTGGAAGGCTATTTCATGCATCTACTGCCATCTGTGTAAAGTAATACTTTCTGAAATTATTTTTAAACCTTTGCCCCTCTAATTTAAGACTATGTCCTCTTGTTGTGGTAGTTTTTTTTTTTTTTTTTGTCAAACACCAACACTACATCGAAACACACCCCTACATTCACACAAACATACTCCATACAAAAACAGGCTTACATTCAAACACACAAACACTGGTCAGTGCTAAATACAACCCTGAAAGCATGGAAAATTGGTTGAGGCCAGCTGTCAAATCTTTGTTGGCGTTGCTTGACCGATGGAGATTGCAGGGGGGAGGGGTCCTCATTGTTAGTTAGTGTATGGGTCCTCATTGCACAGGCCTGAGATGTAACTATATACTTGTGACTGCATGTATGACTGCCTGTGTCTGTATGTCTCTGTATGAC